TTGGGATGGGTTGAACTGTTACCGTTGAATATTATGTCTTGGCATTTTTACACATTTAATTAATATATACTTTTGTTTTATAATATTACTAATTGTAATCAATTAATTTTAGAATAACAAATGAACGATTACATTCAATAGAACGAAAAATCGATTCCAACGTTAATAATGCAATTCCCGTAAAGCCACGAATTCTTCCGTTTTCGACAATAGAAGCGATACAATCGTTTACAAAGGACAACCCCGCCTACGATGACGTTGTTAGTGCTGAATTAATTTATTTTTAATGGATACTTTTAAGGCTTCTGAGTACTTACTGCAGCCATGTTGGAATCGTGACGTCAGAGGCGAGAAATGACACACTGAGAATTCTTGCGCTTTATATATAATATAAATAACAAGATGTCTGAATAAAAAGAGCCTCGATCGTTTCAGCGTACTTTCAAAAACCTCTGGCTACTAACCTTTTTCCTTTACAGCTAATAAAATGTTAATATAACAAGATTTCTAGTCGTGCATACGCAAGCGTATTCATGACAGGAATCTTGTTACATTCACATTTTATGGGTGTTTATCAGCTGTCAAGGGAAAAGGTTAGTAGCCGGAGTTTTTTGCAAGTGTGCTGAAACGATCGAGACTATCTTTTTATTCAAATATTTTGTTATTTATATATAAAGTGCAAGATTTCTCAGCATGTCATTTCTCGCTTCTGACGTCACGATTTCCAACATGACCGTGGCAAGCCCAGGAGCCTTAATTTAAAAAAAGTTGCCTTATAAATATATTTCAATCACGTATTGTCTAATTTATATTTATATAGGTATGCTACTTCAAGTTCTTAAACTGCATAACATTAAAAGACAGCGTGCATCAATGCATGAAGGAAGCCATAATGGTACAAGTGGCCTGGCAATTAACATGGTGGGGAGTTAATGACAATAAAATCTCATTTTATAATACAGCTTTATGTACCGCGATTTACCGTACGTATATTTGTTACTTTACTGTCATTATTGTACATTAATTATGATATTAAATTATCTATTATTTTACAGAAGCCGTAGCGTCGAATCGCTACTATCCCAAACCAACCAGGGAAGAATTTCAAAGAGAGGTTGTCGGATCTTTGAAAGTAGCGAAACAACGATTCCGGAATGCCAGGGGTAGACACCCAGGTGTACAAGGAAACCGGAGGAACTTGCAAGCAGCCGCAGACGCATTATTCAATGAAGATGTTGGCAACCACGGGGATAACAATCGACCAGAAAATCAATATAACAACGGAGAAAGCGATGACAGCAGTGAACACTCTTCCAACATTGAAGATCAATGAACTTTTGGATTCATATATAATCGTTATAAAAATAGTAATGACGAATAAATTTATTAAAAATTTAGAATTTTATATAAATATTCATATATATAAATATCGTAAAATAAATAAATTGATATACGCATACACATATATTTATTTATTTTATTAAGTTTCCATAGGGCTGTGTTTGGAAACGTCACCCGGGTGCACTGAGTGCTGAAAATCCTATAGTGCACATAATATACAGGGTGTCAGATTCGATATGGACGACCCCAAAGATTATAGTAGATTGGGTTAAACTGAGAAGAAAAGTTATATAAAATTTTACAAAATCGTAATTATTATCGGCCTAATTCAGAAAAACGTCTGAGCCAATAAGGCCGGACTCGGCAGCATGCAAAATGGTGTGTTTGTTGACATCTCTGAAAAATCGATAGCGAGAGGTGGAGTCACGCATCGATCGATGAGAGACGGTGGCGAGCGGGGAGCGGGGAGCGGTGAGCGGGCGAACGCGTTCGCTATCGTTTTTTGAGAGATGTCAACAAACACACCATTTTGCATGCTGCCGAGTCCGGCCTTCC